TGGAGAAGACTCTTGAGAGTCCCTTGGACTGCAAGGAGATCAAATGAGTCAATCCTAAAGGAAATCAAGAATATTCATTGGGAGGACAGAAGCTGAAGCTGAAGCTCCAATATTTTGGCCACCTGATTCGAAGAGCTGACTCATTGGAAAAGACCCTGATTCTGGGAAAGGAGGGTGGCAGAGGATGAGATGGTTAGATAGCATCACTGACTCGATGGGCATGAATTTAAGCAAACTACAGGAGATAGCGGAGGACAGAGGAGCCTGACAGGCTATAGTCCATGAGGTCACAGAGAGTCGGACACGACTTAGCAACTAAACATTAGAGGCTAAAGTTCTTTTCTACTCTGAATTACCACAGTTTTTCTTTAAAAAAAAAATAATAATGGATGCTAAATGCTTTTTCCATATATTTTAAGTAATCATGTGGTTTTTCTCTTTTAGACCACTGACATGGTGAATTACATTAATTTGTTTTAAAATGCTGAATCAATCTTGTATTCCTAGGGTAAACAGAATTGGTGATGTGTCACTCTTTTTATATACTGTTGGATTTGATCTGCTAAAATTTTAAGAATTTTTGAGTCTACATTTATGAGGGATATTGATTTGTAGTCTTCTTTACTTGCAATATCTTTGTCTGGTTTTGGTATCAGCATTATTCTGGCATCATAAATTAAGTTGGGAAGTGTTCCCTCATCTCCTATTTTCTCGAAGAGTTTGAGTAGAAGTGGAATTGTTTAAATCTTAAATGTTTGGTAGAATTCACCAGCTACGAGCTACCTAGTCCTAGAGTTTATTTTTGTAGGAAAATGTTTAAGCAGGAATTGAAACCTTATACAGAGCTGTTTGTGTTATCTAATTCTCTTTTAGTGAACTTCAATAGTGAGTGTGATTCAAGAAGTCTGTTCATTGATTTCATAAATTCACTGTCATAAAGGTTAATATTCTCTTATTATCCATATTATGACAGTTTATTTCTGTAGGATCTGTAGTGATGTCCCTCTTTCATTTTGGATATTGATAATTGTGACGGCTCTCTTTTTTGCCTTCATCAGTCTGGCTAAGGCTTTTCAATTGCTGTTTTGCTCAAAGAACCAGCTTTTGATCTTGTTGGTTTTCCTCTATTATTTTTCTGTTTCCAAGTCCATTGGTTTCTGTTTTTATCTTTATAGTTTCCTTTCTTCTGCTTCCTTTGAATTTATTGTGTTCTTCTTTTTTCGAGGCTCTTATGGGTAGCTTATTGCTTAGATTATTGCTTCGAGACCTTTCTTCTTTACCAACGTGTATGCCTAATGCTATAAATTTCCCTCTAAGCACTGCCTTAGCAGTATCCTATAAACTGTGATATGTTGTACTTTCTTTTCTGTTCAATTAAATTATTTTCTAATTTCTCTTTTCATTTTTTGACCCATACATTATTTTACTTTAAAGTTTATTTTTAATTTCCAATGTTTGGAGTTACATATTAGTGATTTTTAGTTTAATTCTGGTCAGACAATATACTTCATATAACTTTAACTTCTTTTAGATTTGTTAAGATTTGTTTCATGGCCCAGCATACTCTGTGAATGTTCCATGTATACTTGTTAAAAATGTGTACTCTGCTGATACTGGGAAGATTGTCCAATAAATGTCAAGTAGATCAACTTGGATGATATTGTGATTAAGATTTCTATTAGTATATCCTTACTGATTTTCAGTCTACTTGTTCTGTAACTTACAGAGAGACATATTGAAGTCACCAACTATGTTTGTGGATTTTTCCATTTCTACTTTACTTTTTGTTTCATGTGTGGGTGTGGGCACATTTATAGTGTTATGTTTTCTTGTAGAATAACACTTTCATTACTATAAAATGTTCCTGTTCATCTCTGGCAATTTTCCTTGTTCTGATGTTTACTTTATATGATGTTAACATCTTGGCCCCAGCTTTCTTTTGATTTGCATTTTCATGGTATAGTTTTCTCTGTTTACTTTCAAACCACCTATGTTTTTATGTTAAGTAATTTTTCTTGAGAGAGCACATCAGTTTAGTTCAGTTCAGTTGCTCAGTCATGTCCACATAGTTGGGAAATATTTTCTTTGTATACAATCTTATCATCTCTCTTTTCATTGGGAAGTTGAATTTAAATCTATCATCTTACTATTAATTTTTCAATTTGTGTTATCTGTTCTTTTTAAAATGTTGTCACTATTTTCTTCCTTCTATTGGATTGAGTATTTTTTATGATTCCATCTTACTTATTGATTATATCTATATTGATTATATCTCTCCTTTTAGCTTTTAGTGGTTACTTAAAGCAGGGCTTAAAATATCTAACTTTAACGTATTAGAATCTGTCTTCAGATAATATTAAAGCCCCACTTCACATACAGTGAAATAACTTTACAACAGTATATATGCTCTCATTTCCTCCTTCTAACCTTTGTGCTTTGTTGTCATACATTTACCTTGATATGCTATAAACCCCACGAAACAGTGTTATAATCTTTGTTTCACATGGTCTATTTGTAATCTTTATTGAGATATAATTCACCTGCATAAGATTCACCCATTTAAAGTGCACACACAGTTCCAAAGGCCAGAGGTTCTCAAACCATGTCAGAATTACATGGAGGGCTCATTAAAAGCCCTGACCCCTCCCTCACCCTAGAGTTTCTGATCCAGCAAATCTGGGATGGGGCCTGAGACTCTGCATTTCTAACAAGTTCCCAGGGATGCTGATGCTCTTGGCCTGGGGCCGTGCACCCAACCTGTGAGAATCACTGCTATAAAAAAAATTACAAACACAGGTTATCAACCTAACTTGAATGATGATATAGCATCCATACTGGGAAGATGGGGAGAGATGGGTTGGAGTTTAAAGGCAAAATCCTGATGGCCAGTAAGTGGTCTGATCTAGTGGGTCTGTGGGAACCTGACACCTGACTGTGACAGAGAAATGGCATGCTCTGGTGACAGTGGTTAGCACCATCTGTTTGGCCAAGGCAAGCCTGCAATTCTAACCCAACAATTACTTTTAATGAATGAATGCATGTTCCTCCTCCTTTTCCCCTGATGTGGTCCATCTCCTCTTCAAGCAAACCTGACATGGGGAAAGCTAAGTCTACCCAAAATATTAGTTAGTCAATGAATATCTGTTTTTCCAAACTTTTTTTTTTTTTGCCTTACCAACATAGCAAATCTAAACACTTCCTTTAAAAACAGACTCCAGGGTATACTGAAGACAGGCAGCATGGTGACAGAAGTTCATCTCACACTACCATTTGGTGGCAAACTGAGGAGTCCCCTTGAGGGTAAGAAGCAGACATCAGCATCTTGGGAAGGGCCTGGCTCATCATCTGAGCAGGTGCCTCTCAGATGGCACAGCTCCTCTCACCCCTGCCTTCAGAGCCCAGTTCATAACCTGCTGCACCCTCTTCCTCCCCCAATTCTCATAGCTCACCCAGAGCCTTTTTATCCAGAGCCCCCCAAACCTTCCCTCTCCCTTCTCGCAGCTGTCACTCCCCGACATCTGGGGATAATGTTTCCCTCCCAGCTCCAATTCTGCATCTTGGGACAGAGGGAGGGGGCAACGGGGCAGTCTTGGCGGTTCAGTCAATGGAACAGGATTTAAAAGTCACAAAACTCCTAGGAGAGACAAAAAAGTGTCACATCCCCTTGTGGCCTACATTACAGACTGAGGAGCTTCCAGAAGCTGTGGATCACGAGAGTCAACCCACCCTCAGTAAGAAGTGAGCCAGGCAGCGGTTCAACTGTGGAAAGAATTCAGTGAGCAAGTTTCACTTCGCTGCAATAAAGAAGCCTGACTGCATCCTGATGGTGACTGGCCCTGGTGGGAGGAGTAGAAGCGGGGTATGAGGGCATATGCCCGGGCTGCCTGGGGCACACAGTGCCAGGATGAAGAACTGACCTCCCCGCTCCCAGGGTAACTGTAGAACATGGCGCTTCCTGTCAAGCTAGTATTCTGATTTCCATGGACTCACGTGGCAAGAAAAACAAGTTCATTTGCCAATGGAGAATGAGGTGGGGAGAAGGGAGAGGAAAATAGGGGAAGAGGAAATTCCACAAGTTACAAAAAGTTGGACCCCTCCATCCCTCAATAAATAGTGTTTTAATTTGTTGTGATTAATGCAACGTTTCGTTTAGTTATGAAAGCTGGGCACACGGTATGTGTGGTTTGGCAAATGCATTTAACTTAGCCCCCTCTTAATCCACTCCCACTTTCTCCTTTTCTCCCCAGCACCCCCTCTCCTTTTAACCCAGATGAGTGAAGGAATAAATTAGTCCGGAAATGTTTCTGCTCCAATAAAACATTATCACCTGTCAATCACCAGATAAGTACAGGGAAGGCCTCTCCTTTGCTTTGCCATTCCTATGGCCTCAGAAAATCTCACCCAGTTCCAAAATTAGACCTTCTTTGCCACATGCCACATGGGAACGAGCCACTCCCCATTCTGCCAGAGCTTTTAGGGCCATGCCTGAGAACCCATCATTTCATCATCCATGGTTCACATAACATATCTCATGTAACATCTGTTTGGATCTGACTCTTTTTTTCCAAAACCACTTTCTACCCAAACTTACTACAAAAGCAGATGAGTAAGCAAGACGATGTGCTGGTCATTTGAGAGTTTTGATAGATGCTCAGATGGCCTTTGGGCTGGAAGGTCATGGAATGACCTCCAGCAGGCAGCTCAGAAGCCCACCAGGGGTCAGAGACACAGTGATAGCAGTACAACATGTCCCCACCTTAATATTTCCCTCAGCTATTGTCTTAAGTTACAAGTTCAAGACATTTTGGAGCAGGACGTGCTCTTCTAGTGTGTGGGTGAGACAGTGACATGTGGACCCCCTGCACTGACTCAGGGCACACTGCCTCCACTGCCCCAGGTTCTGTTGGAGAGGGTTCTGGCAGTGTTTGGAGGGTACAGCACAGGCCTGGGCTTGCCCCTTGGCATGCCAGAACAAACCTCCTTCTTCAGTGCTTCTGCACCTTGAATGACAGGACACCAGCTCCCCAGCCGGCTTCCGTGATGGCCCGGGTCCATTCATCATGTTCTCTCGACTGCATCTCTGGGTCCTCAGAGAGAAACACCAGCTGTGTCAGCTCACCCGAAGACAAGCACACCCGGGGTGGCGCACAGGTGGCCCTTCGTGGTGACACGAGCACTAGTGCAGCCTGGTCCTCAAAACAAAGGATCACCAGCAACCGTGAGCAGCTGACAAGATGCATCTAGTTCCGGGTGCCAGACATTCCCAGCCCACCAAGCACAGACCCGCTCACCCTCGGGCATCAGGGAGGCAGCCTGAGTAGCAGGAAGGGGGTGTATCTCTCAAAGGAAGACAGGCTCTGTTCCACTCCCAACTCCACCACTTCCCAGCTGCCTGGTCCCCTCGTGATCAGGAAATATACTCTGTATGGTTTTAATCTTCTTAAATTTATTGAGGTCTATTTTATGGTCCAGAATCTAGTCCATCTGGATGAATTTTCCAAGTATGTTCTACTGTTGTTGAGTGGAATGTTCTGTAAATGCCAATCAGGTAAAGTTAATGATGATGTTTTCCAAGTGCTCTGCGTTGTCACTGATTTTCTACTTGTTGGGGGAGGGGGCTGTGATGCTTCCAGATGTGTCTGCTGTGCTGGGGTACAGACTCCAGTCTCTCAGTCAGACACTCAGTTGTTGGGGGAGGGGGCTGTGATGCATCCAGCCATGTCTGCTTTGCTGGGGTACAGTCTCCAGTCTCTCAGTCAGATGCTCATCTGGGTGCTGCTCAGAAGAGATTTTGCAGATGTGATTACAGACCCTAATCAGTTGAACTTTAAGTAGAGGAGATGATTCTGGGTGGGCCTGACTTAATTGGTCAGAGGACCTTAATAGCTGGGCTGAGGCTTCTCCAGGGAAAGAAGAAATTCCTCCTGTGAACAACAGCATTGGCTGTGTCTGCACACACATCAAGTTACACTTGCTTTGCAGCCACCGCAACTGCACGATGGACTTCTCATCTGCTTGATACAAACACACCTTCTGCAGGTTCTGCTCCTCTGGCTGAACCCTGACTGAGCCCAGGGTACTGAAATTACTGGTGATGATTGTGATTTCTCTGTCTCTCCTTGCAGGTCTATCAGTTTTCACATCATATGTCTTGAAGCTGTTAGTATACACATTCAACATTTGTGTCTTGAAGAACTGATGCCTTTATCTTGGTGACGGACTTCTATGTACCTGGAAATACGCTTTGATATGAAATCTACCTTGTCTGGTGCCAGTATGGCCACTGCGGCTCTCTACTGGGTCATGTTAGCAAGGCACATCTCCTCCCCTCCTCTTACTTTTAGCCTATTTGCAGCTTCCTCTGTACTTCCTTTGCTGCACTTCTCTGCAGGCAGCATTTATTTGGGTCCTGCTTCTGTATCCCACCTTGCAGTCTCTGTCTTCATTTTAAATGCTAGCCTATTTACATTCAATGTAATTATGAAACAGCTGAGTTTAAATCTTTTTGTTTTGGGTTTCTGCTTGTCCCATCTCTTTCTTATTGTCATGCCTTCTTTGAGATTGATTGAGAGTTTTATTTTAGTGATTCTCCTTTATCCCCACTGTCAGCTTATTAGTTACACAGTAATTTTTTATTTTTACTGGATGTTCCAAAGTTTATAATACACCTCTTTAACTTCACACAACCTCCCTTCATATACTATGATTCCATATCACAGATGGTGTAAGGGTCGCTGAAAAGTATACTTCTATGTCTCCCTCCCATTCTTTGCGCTGCTATTGTCAGAGATTTTACTTCCTTGCAAACTATAAACCCCAAAATACACTGCTATTATTCTTTATTTAAATGGTGAAATATCATTGCAAGAAATGTAAAAATAATAAAAATACATTTTACATTTATCTATTTAATTACTGGGATTCCCAGATGGTTCAGTGCTAAGAATCCACCTGCCAATGCAGGAGATGTGGGTTCAATCCCTGAGTTGGGAAGATCCTCTGGAGAAGAATACGGCAACCCACTCCAGTTTTCTTGTTTGGGAAATCCCATGGACAGAGGAACCTGGCAGGCTATAGTCCACAGGGCTGCAAAAGAGACACAACTTAGCAACTAAACAATGACAATTAAATTACTAAATTACTATTACTGGTCCACTCCACTGCTTTGTGTAGATCTAAATTCCCATTTGGAATTTTTTTTTCTGCTAGAAGAACCTCCTTTAACACTTGCTGTAAATCAGACTTGCTGACAGTGAATTCTATTGGTTTTTGTTTGTCTGAAATAGTCTTCATTTTATTTCCAATTTTGAACCATATTTTCATTGGCTAATAAAATCACTGTTGATGGCCCCCGCCTCCACCAGCATTTAGCACTTAAAAGATGCTTCTCCAGTGTTTTCTGGCTTGCATGGTTTCTGGCAAGGGGTCTGCTGTCCCTCATATGGTTCTGCTCCTCTGTCCACAATGTGTCATTTTTATCTGGCTGCTTCTAAGATTTCTTTTTATTACTGGTTTTCAGCAATTTGTTTATAATGTGTCTTAATGTGGCTTTCTCAGTGTTTACTCCACACAGGGTTTGTTTGGCTCCTTGGATCTGTGAGTGTCTAGTTTCCATTGAATTCAGAAAGCTTTTGGCTGTTATTTCTTCAAAACAGGTTTTATCCCTGCCTCTCTCTTGTTTCTAGAACTCCAATTACAAACATGCTAGATGACTGGATATTAGCCCACAGGTCACCACGGTTCTGTTATTTTGTTTTTAAAGTCTTTTTTCTCTCTGCTCAAATTTGAATCGTTCTATGGCTTCAAACTTGCTGATCTTTAATTCTACAGTGTTGACTCTGCTGTGAATTCTATCCAGCATATTTTTCATTTCAGATATTGAATTTTCAACTGAAAGTTCCGCTGTGACTTTTTTGTATCTTTCATTTTGCTTCTTATTATTTATTGTTCTTCCCTCTTGAATGTATGGAACATATTTTTAGTAGCTCTTTCAACATCCTTGTCTGTGAATTCCATCATCTATGTCACATCTGGGTATCTTTTTACTGATTGACTTTCCCCCAAGATTTTGGGTGAATTTTCTGCTTTTTCTGCATGCAGAAAAATTTTGATCAAACGCCAGACATTGTCAATGTTCACTGTTGCTTTCTGGCTTTTGCGGTGCTCCCTTAAAAGGTCTTGAATTTTATTCTGGTGTGCACTTCTGAGTTATTTGGAATTAGTTATACTCTTATGAGGCCTCTTTTAAAATGTTGTTAGGGTGGGTCCAGAACAGACTTAGGCTAAAACTAATTTACCACCATTATTCAGAAAATACTTATGAGGATTCCACTAATGCACAATGTATCCTAAGATCTTCCCACCCTGGCTGATATAAACACAAGCTACCCTCAGCCCTGTGTGAGCTCGAAGGACTGTTCTGCCTGCCTCTCTGGGCAGCAATGTCCCCAGCCTACTTTCCTTCCCTCACATACGTGCACGCGTCAGCCGTGCCCTGGTGGAGCCTCTCTGGAGCTCCCTCCACCCAGCCCTCTGCCCTCCGAGTCTTGCTAGTCTGCCCTCTCTCTCTTCCACGCAATGAGACCACCCCTCTCTCACACGTTCCCTCCCCGCAGTGAGCTGGTACAGTCATAAGCCCTGTTTCTCCCTTTCATTGCCTAACGTCAATGTGTGACAGCTGTGCTTGGTGTATCCCATCCCACTTTCTGGTCATTTATGGCAGGAGGGTAATTCGCATGCCTGTTACTTCACACCGGCCAGAATCAGATGTCGAAAACCAAAAGTCAGTAACATTTTCAGAAGATGTTTCTGGTCTAATTTTTTTTTTTTCCCCCTGGAAGCTGAAGCCTTCTTTTATTGACAGAATCTACACAGCATGTGAGGCAGAGCTGTCCACAAGGTCCCAACATAGCACATTCTGACATTCAAATTAGACTTATTTAAATGTGGCTCCTTTTGATTCCTACAACTTTGTACTATGATGATTATCTGTAGATAGGGATTCTAAATTGAAACAACTTTACTCACATGGTCATCATCACTCAATTTTTGGAGACTAACAGCTTGGTCCAATTTTTTTAAAACGTAATAGATTCTCAACTAGGCCTGATACTTAGTTGACTTTTTTTTTTTTGTCTAATGTTTTTCATTTCCACATTTTAAGTAGAACCCCTAAAATCCATTCCCCTCCATGGTCATTATCAGTTCATCAAATAATAAAAAGGGCACAGTCTCAGAATAAAGGGCATTTCTCCCCAAACTAGAGGGGAGAGTAGCTGTGGGTCTTACACCAGTTTCTGAACTTTCTGCAGTTTCCTTATTTAACCACAGACTTGAGCGTTTTCCTAGGCTGACACTGAGGACAGTATTGATTAGAGATGATGGCAATATCATGCTGGGAATAGGAGTTGGGAACGTGGCTATTATTATTAGTGTGTGTATCTGAAGCAGAAATTGTAGCCTGACCTTCCTGTGCATCGTCCCGGCAGAGTCAAGGGCAGATGTCCTGCTTGGGGAGCTGGGGTGACAGAGCAACAGGTGCTCGCCACTGAGCTCCCGGGGCAGCGATCTCCACGGCTCACTCCACACCCCTCTAGGTGTCCCCAGGTCAGCACTTCACATCAACGTCATAGTGAATTCTCAGAGGGATCCTGCAGCAGGCGGCAGGTGGGCCCAAGGCCGGGAGAGATAGAGCCAGGGTGAACCAGGCCTGCCTGGCACCTGGGCAGGGTGGTTCCTGAACACCAGCTGTTGGCATACCTTCCTCAAACATTGGCCAAATCTCCATAGTACCCACCTGTCATTCACTTCACATGTGTCTCTAAAATCACTTCATTTCTAAAAGTATCTAAAGCTATTCTAAAAGAAATTTCTGTCATTCCCATCAATGGGAAATCAGTATCATTTGTTTCTTTAAAAAAAAAAAACCCTCAGGGCCCCATGAAAATAATGCACTCTCATTAAATTCTAGCCAGATGCTCCTGCTTTCTGGAGGCTTTCTTTCTTTATTAAGAAGAGAGCCCAGCAACTTCTGGAGAGGTACTGGGTCATAATAATACCTAACTCAGAGGGCTTCCCTAGGGGTCCAGTGGTTAAGAATCCACCTGCCAATGCAGATGACATGGGTTCAAGCCCTGGTCTGAGAACTAAGACTCCACATGCCACGGAGCAACTAAGCCCGGGCACCCCAACTACTGAGCCTGTGCTCTAGAACCTGCGAGCTGCAACTACTGAAGCCTAAGCATCCTAGAGCCTGTGCTCTGCAACGAGAGCCATCCTTGTTGAGAAGCCCATGAACAGTGATTAGAGAGTAGTCCCTGCTCACCATAGCTAGAGAAAGCCTGTGCACAGCAACGAAGACCCAGTATAATAAAAAATAAAAATATTTTAAAAAATTACCTAACTAAGACTTTCTATTAGATATGACTGGAAACTTTGAAAAAGATTCTGCAGTGCCCAGTGAAATGTGTCTATCATCTGATGGAAGATGAAACCCAAGTGGAGAGAAGGCGGAGGATCACATGAGACAGCAGAGCTGAGGGGCCTGAGCGAGAGGGAGGCCCTGTTCAAATCGAGGACTTCCACTGGCTCAGGAAGCAAGACCCCGGAGTCCACAGGGTGGCAGTGTGGGCTGAGGTGTGGCTGAAGTGGGGAATGCCTTGTGGTGGGTGGCAGTGTGGGCTGAAATGGGAGTGCCTCATGGTGCAGCCACTGTGGAACATGTTCTGGCATCCTCCTCACTGTACAACCAGAAATCCCCACAAATCTGTCCAGAGCAGTTGGGCGCAGGGCTGAGATGGACAGACATGCCAGCCCGAGCGCAAGGGCTCCTGGCAGTACTAAGTGCGGCCTGAGAACCAGAATTGCCCAGAGGTCTGCATCAGGTGGACAAGCACGTCTGTACCACAGAAAACCACCCAGCCGTCATGAGGACATGATGACAAGCAGCAAGATGACCTGGCTGTGGATGCATTGAGACCTGTGAAAGAAGACAGACCTAAAGGGGACATGGGATCATCCCATCTCAGTGACATTCCAGAAAAGGCAAAACTGATCTCCAGGGATAGAAACCACGTGGGGGCTGCTGGGGGCTGGTAACGGGAAGAGTTAACTACAAAGGGAAATCTCGGGGGTGACAGGACCTTCTCTGTGTTGACTGTGGCAGTGACACAACTGGATGCATTTGTTACTCAGGACGGTGTAGTGAAAAGAGTGGATTTCACTGATGTAAGTTATATCCCAATAAGCTCGGCTTAAACAGCAACATACATCAGACAAAAGCCATCTCTTGCTGCAGACATGTTAGCATCTCTTCATTACTCTTGGGATAAAAGGCAGCTCCCCTCCTCGGCCTCTGAGCTGTGAGGGTCTGGCCTCCTCTTCCCTCTCCTCCCAGTCCTCAGGGCTCCTGCACACTCTGTTCCGTCCCAAATGCTCTCCCTACACCCCTCCCACATCCTTTCTTTCCAAGCTTCAGACCCTCATCCCCACCACCCACCAGAAGAGGCTCCAGTCTTGTATTCACGGGTCTTTCCCTCCATCACAAGTCACAATCACACCCCTGCTCAGCTGCGTGCCTGATAGGTAACTATCTCCCCATGAAGGACACAACGTCTCATCACTGATGCTGGTCCTTGCTACAGAGTTCGTCACACAGCGCGTGTTCACTAAGTTCCCAAATAAGAGGATGAATGAATGAACAACTAAGTTCTGGAGAAAGGAAACACACAGAGTAACTTCTCTGCACTCCATTCTTTGGTGAACGAATATTCTATTGAAAAGGATGCTGGGCAAGGTAACAGAGCCATCCCTCCTGGGCTGTCGCAGACCAGCAGAAGGGCAGGTGACACAGAGTCCTACCTGTCATGGCACAGGTCCCAGGTTCCCGGCTCAGAGCTTGTTGTCGGCCTGAAAAGTAGGAGGGAAAAAAAAACCGTTAACCACTTTGCTGGAGTCCAGTCTTTCCCAACTGCCTGGCTCTGCTAAGCCTAGAACTGGCAGAAAGCGTTTGCCCAAGCCTGGTGCCTGCTTCAACACCAGGGTGTCTGAGTTTCGGACCAAACATCAGTCTTTTGAAGCTGAGGTTCTGTTAAAGCCTGGCTCAAACAACAGGGTCAGTGAAAGGCTTATGAAAAGGATTTGAGAGGCTCCCCGTGCGCCAATTAGCTCTTACAAAATGGTGTTTTGATGAGCACCGTGCTGATGAATCAGCTCCACGTGGCTCCCTTCCCCTGGAAACACCCTTGGGCCTGAGAATGAAGGCGGGTGGTGGGGAGAGGTGGGGGCCCCACTGCAATACAGGTTTTGCCAGATTCCTGGTGGAGGGAGGGGGTGAACAGTTGAACACATCTGGCTGATATAAAACATGGCTGGAATCATCCTTCCTTGAAGCAAATATTATTCTCATTAAAACATAGATCATCTGTTGGGAGGAGCCGAAGTGGAGGAGGGCGGCACTCCTTTGGTTACATGCAGCCGTGCTTAGCGGGCAGAAGTGGGGAATGGAGGCCCCGGCGCCACCCCCGCCCCAAGTTTGGTCCCTGCCCAGCAAGGCTCCTTTCACTAGCCAGTGAGCAACCAGGGTCCTGGCTCCGCCCTTCCAGCTGGGTCTGTGGGCTGCTCTCTTGCTGGAAGCCACCTTCCTGATTTTCTACCAGGTCCTGAGCAGGTGCTCTCAACTCAGAGACATTCCGCTGTGTGAGGACCGTGATGTGTGTTGCCTGGTCAAATGCCAGCACTGACACTGCGTGAATGGGGTAGATGTGGTGACTACCTGCAACCAGCCAGTTCCAAGTAAGGGAGGTTACTCTTCATAAGGCAGGTTGGCCCCATTCACCCAGCTGGAGTTCTTGTGAGCAAAAACTGAGGTTTCCCAGAGAAGAAAAAATTCTGCCTCGCAACTGGACAGAACAAACACCCTGTTCTACACCATAACAGCCACCCTTCCAGGACTCCCAGCCTGTTGACCTCCCCTACAGATTTTGACCTGTGAACCCCGTGGTCCTTATGACAAAATGAATCTGTTGCTCTCTCTGCAGATAGAACAGATAGATAGATAGACAGACAGACTATATAACTGACAGACATCAATAGATGACAGATATCCTCTTGGTTCCACTTTGCTGGGGAACCCTGGGTGATCTGTCCATCCCCCAGAGCTAGCCCTTGAAAACTCCTCACCCACATGGCAGCACAGACTGGTGGTTAAAATGGCATCTCTGGTGCCATGGAACACTGCATGGAAGTGTGCAATGGAAGGGTGCAATGGAAGCTCTGGAACAGGCAAAACAAATCAGTGATGACAAAAATCAGGACAGTGGCTGCCTCAGTAGGGTGTGGGCAAGGACTGACTGGGAAGGGGGCACTTCCTGCAGGGGATGGGAAATTCCCCGTGCTGATGGGGAGGGGCTTACAGGAGTCTGCTTGTGTTAAAACTCAGTAAAAGGTACACCTAACATTTGTGCATTTCACTGCACGGAAAGTTTACTTAAAAACATAAATATTGAATTATAGTTGGCAGAACATGCACTCAACTGCTTAGGGGCCAAGTATACTGGTGTCTGCAGTGGCTGTGTGAAATGCACACAAAAGTAAGGTGGATCCACAGATGGAGAGAGGGGTGGAGAGCTGGACAGACAGCTGATAAAGAGAATGCAGTTCGATGTCAATGGTGGAATCAAGTGATGGGTATGTGGGTACTTGTGGTACCATGGACCAAGCAGCTGAGGTGTGATGTGGTCAGAAAGCTTGAAGTCCTGAACCTTGAATGCTTCTGAATGCTAGACTCCTGAGTACTCACTGGACTCCTGAGTACCTCACTGAGACGGTGACAGGATGGGGAAGCAGACCTCAGCAGCAATATCCTCAGCCCATGACCTTCAACAAGCATCAGGGACATCATGTTGGAGGCCCCTTTGGGACCAGGATGATCTAGACAAGTTAAAGACACCTGGGGCAGTGGAAGCCAAGGGCTGGGGGAGCACAGACTAGCAGGGATGTGTGTGTTATGTTGACAGGTGATGGGCTGCCTCTTGGGGGAGGCATTCAAGGTGAGCGAGACTTCAGTGGCTGGACATGGTCCGGATTGCATAAAAGATATCCTGTGATGCAAGATTCTGGTCCATGGTGGTTCTACCCTTCCACAAGACTATAGATACAGAGGGTCCCATTTGTCTGCCACTTTCCCTGAGCCAAACTGGAAGCTACACTTGCTGTAGAACAAGATCCTGCCTTGTTGAAAGGGCCCCTGGCCCATCTCAGCCTTCAACAGACAAACACTCAGTTCAGACAGAAAGAATTCCACAGACCACCATCTGGAAACAGAAGGCAACAGCTTGGAAGGTTTATCCTGACCCAATCCTATTTTCTTGTCACTTCCCCTGATGACCAAGGGCTCGGAGGGCAATGAAATAGTGTAAAATGATATAGCCAATAAGGAGGCTGTGTTGTAATGAGCCAGGAGAACACGGTTCAGACTCAGAAAGGAAGGACACTCACCTCCAAAGTATCAGCGATGCCCTTATTAACGGCTAAGTTTAACCCATCCCCCACCCATCCACCCATCCACCCATCTATCCATTCATCCATCATCCATCCAACTCTAGAATCTTACACTGCTATACCCTTGCTACATGCTTGGTTTATAAAATTATAGTATTTGGCATAGAGGAGGCCCTAGGTATTTCTTGTGTGGTTGGATCACAAGGTATCATGTGCACCCTTAAGGAGCAAGTGAAACAAATTAGTTACGCCACAAACAGGAAGCTACGAAATACCATGAGGGCGACGGTACAACCTACCGAGCCGATGGAGACACTGGTGAGAGGAGAAGAAGGTGTGGAAAATAACTTCTTAAATATATACGTTTTTGAAATATCTATTTCTTGCCTGACATTTCTATTTTCTTTACTGGCAGGCCTATGAAATAGTTCTATTTAAAATCTATTATCCAAAATAAATTATTCCAAGTCTATATCCATATATATTAAAGGAAAACTTTTAAAAATATTCTTTGCACTGATTATCTGGACGTTTGAAAAAACAAGCAGAGTAATTACTCTTGCTCCATATTCACAAACTTTGATTTCTTTTTAAGTTTATCTGGACTTTAATACAATGTCACTGATTTTTTTTAAAAGAGTATCTCTTAAAATTATTTACTAGTTTTATTTTTTCATAAATTATCCCCAATCTTCCTCAGTGTTAAACTTTGTGATTGATAAATTCAAGATTGTTGACACTCTTGACTGGCTGTCTATAAAGTATAATATTTTATTGAGAAAATTATCTTTATACAGGTGCTGACAGACCTGGAAACTCAGCACAAATCTGGCCAAGTGGAAGATTTCCTCAGTTCTAATATTTCCAGGTGGGAAGATGAGTCTGTTTCAGCCTGGATATGTGGTCAGGGTCTGTTTTGACTCTAGTCAGAGAACCTCTCTCATCAACAAGTATTTCACAAGTCAAAATTCATCAAATTGTCTCTATTTATGATGCTTTTCAATGTTTCACCAAATTTAAATGCTTCAAAAATCTTAGCTATCTCAAGTGCATTCCATTTGGGTACAGAATGTAAATATATCCAACTTTAAAATGTGGACCTCATCAGAAGATTCTTCACAGAACATTCCACAGTGAAGTCACAGCACAGCGACTCCCCCGGTCCTCCTGTCAGCATCTTTAATGCGTCAGCACCTTTCTGTGAGCAAATTTGTTCTGTGGCCACTGTGCTTCACTAAAAGCTTCCTGAACTGAAGCTTTCTGGCACAACCTTCACTGAAAAATTTATAAGTTCCCAGTGGATTCTGAATAAATGGCACAACGAATTTAAAGGGCTCACTTACAGAACAATTAAATGCCACTGTGCACACTTTATTTACAAAGGATCCACTCCTGTGTCTGGCAGATAAGGATGGCAATTAACCCCAGGGAGAGAGATGACGTCCTGCTGCATCCGCTTTCGTTTTAATTCAGCATCAGCTGCATCCCAGGGCTTTGTGGTCCAGCCCCTCCACTTCTCACTCATGCATCGTGACAGCCTGAGCTCCTCTCACGATGCAGAGGATTTCCTGAAGCAGTTATCACTTGCTGGGCAGCATTGTTGATTCCAAGCATATTTCTGCGCCATAGATGTCTCAATTTGGCCAAACCCTTGTTTTCAGAACGATGTGTGCTCCGTCAGAATTTGAATTTGTGTTATCACTGCAAAAATAAATCACTGTACCTTCAACGTTGAACTTTTAAACTGAATTAGAGAAAGCCTTTGCATTATCTCCTATGTTGCACGCTGCCCCGCTGGCTGGCTGTCTGGGGCTTCAGGCATCCTCAGGCCACTGGTGAGGATGGCACAGCGGCCAGGAACCAGAGGCTGGCAGGTCAGTTCCATGTCTTAAAAATGCATTCATTTTTTAAATCTTTAAACCCTTGCTAGATTGTCTTACCACCCAAATCTCCAACCTGATGTTCCCTGTCTTTGCTTCACAGGAGGGTTAGCGAGTGTTAAGAAACAGGACTAGCTGGTGCCTGGCCCAGGCTCCCTCCTGGTTACACCGCTGTCTGTGACCACAGGCAGAGCCTGCCAGGCTCGTGTCTGTGACGACAAGAGAGCTCTTGCACAATGGGAGACACGAAACAGCCCCTGGAATATGGCAAATAATTTTTAATTATAGGAAGAATGTAAAGATAAATATTTAGAAGTTTTGATGGAATGCAGCTCTGTTTCAAAGGAAAATGAAATGTCGGAGAAACCGGCTCAACTGCTGTTTTCATTCCCAGAAGCCTCGCTGGATGCAGGAACCACGTGGAGAAGACGATCTCCTGCTCCCTGCGCCCCAGATCACAGTTCCACATTGCTGACTCACCCCTCCTTCCTTGGCCTCTCTTCCGCCCCCCTGAGGCACCAGCCTGTCACCCAGGAGCTCCAAGAACAGTGGGGCAGACACCCACACCCCTCACATAACCAGACAGGCCTCTCAGAGGCCAGCACCCTGCCCCTGGGCAGGGATGGCTGGTCCCTCCTTCTGCAAGTGTCCACAGGGTGTGACCAGACAGCGTAAGTGCCCAGCCCAGTGTCACACTGGAAAGCACAGCATCCTTCTGTCAGCTCCAGCCCAAGTGGTCCAGGGCGGCCCGAGGACCAGGCTGTGAGCTCCAGAGACAACTCCCGACAGGCAGGGCAGGGGCAGGGCACCTACAGAAGAGCAGGATGACTGCATGGTTAGCCGACAGGGCCAGCTGCCTCGGACGGGGTTAGGCTGGGGAGGCAGCAGATGGCCTCACGTCTTATCCTAGAGGAGGAAGGAGCCGACACCCTGAGCGGGCGAGGGTGAGACTGGAGAAGTCCTTCGTGGCAGAGGGAAGGGGATCAGAGCAGCAGGGGACCTGGGCCCAGTCTCAGTCTTGATCAGGACGGCAGTCCCTGCCCCGCGAGGACCTACAGTCACAGAATGATGCTGCTGACTCGGGGGCTGTGGGGGAGAGAGGTATGAGCAGCCAGGACTGGCACTCCATCTCGGGTGCTAGGGGCTCTGGTCAGGGAGGGCTGCCCACAGGAAGGACCTGGGCTCTTCTTCATCAGCCCCACCTCAAACCAAATCAGACTTTCCTGAAGTACCCACCCACTAAGCCATTTCTGATCCCCAAGAGGGTTTGAGTGGTGTGGTCACCAACAGTGGTTTGGGAGACCTCAGGAGGGCGATGAGGGAGGGGGAGACTGAGAGGTGGGCAGTGCCCAGCTTTGAGGGGACAGCACTGACCTTGACGGGAACAGCGGTATAGGGGACAAGTCTCAGTTGCCCCATGAGCAGCAGCTGAGTTGGAAGAGTACCTCCCAGGAGGACACAATCTAAAGATGTTGCTCGGGTTTTGCTCAGGTAGTAGAATTCAGCACCAAGTGTGGAGTAAGAGAACACCCAGAGGTATGATGTGTCCTCATGAAATGATGAGCCCCAGCATGCACCCAAGCTCTTGGTGCTCCATGGACCCGGGGCACAGAACAGACTGGGAGAAAGAAGGGGCCATGACGTGGTGGTCTCAGCTTCAGCCCACAGCCCAAGGCAGAGCGATCTGAGCGTGGCCCTGAGCTGGAGCTGACTGCAGACAACATCTGTGGGCTGGCTGCCTGGTGTCCAGGCAACTTCTCAGGGGAATCAAGGAGCTGGAGGATGAGCCAGCCTTGCAGGGGTAAGAGAGTCTGTGCGGGCAACAGGGGCCCAGCAGGGAAACCTGGACGAAGTGGCCTCCCTGGAAACCACTGCGGGGGCCATGTTTTCTCTGAGCCTTTGTTGCTTTGTTACCAAGGACGTTCTGTTCCAGCTCCCTACCCCTCACCTGAGATCATCGTCCATCTTTGTGAAAAGTCAGAGTAATTCTTTCCATCCCTGCTGGCCAGGTTGGGTGTATGCAGGCCAGGTCGTGTTGGCATGGCCACAAGACAGGCCGGGAGGAGGGAAGCGCTACCTCAATGCTCAGCAATGGCTGTGCTGCCCCCTCCTCCCAGCTTGGGCCTCTTCCAGGGGTGAACGCCCAGCTCCTGTGTCCACACCATCATCAATGCTCTGCGTGCCTGCTGGGTGCCAGGCCACATATGGGAAGGTCCTTCCCTGAACCTTTGTGATCTCAATATGATGCAGGCATTCATTTTTAAATGCATTTATTTACTTTTGGCTGTGCTGGGTCTTCATTGCTTTGAGGGCTTTTCTCTAGTTGTGGCAAGTAGAGGGCTACTCTCTAGTCGCGGCACACAAGCTTCTCACTGCGGAGGCTTCTCCTGTTACAGAGCACCGGCTCTATGCACGCAGGCTTCAGGAGTTGTGGTGCATGGGCTTAGTTGCTCTGCAGCATGTAAGATCTTCCAAGATCAGGGATCAAACCCATGTCTCCTGCCTTGATGGGGGGATTCTTTACTACTGAGCCACCAGGGAAGCCTCAGGCATTCATTTCATCCTGAGTTTAAAGATTAAAATCTGACACTAGATCCTCACGTCGATGTTCAATTGGTTTTCAACAAGGATGCCAAGATCACTAAATGAGGAAAGGACAGCCTTTTCAAAACAAATGGTGCTTCCAACCAGACACCCACATGGAAAAGGATAAGTCGGACCCTTATGAAATAGCATATACAAAATTTAACTCTAAAAGACTCAAAGACCTAAATGGAAGAGTTAAAACTGTAAGTCTTAGAAGAAAGTAAAGGTGTGAATCTTTGTGACCTTGGATTAGACAACGATTTCTTAGATATGACACCATAAGCACAGC